GTGGACGAAGAGGAGTCCAGCCCGGGGTCGTCACATGTGGTTGCCGCAAGCCCGCTGGACGCTCCTTCGTCGAATCTGCCGGCCGCACCGTTCTCAAGCCCACCAGCCACCGCTCACTCTAGCCCGCTGTGTGTTTCATTGTGAAAGTAACCGCATAAACACATTTCATTAAACCAAATACACAAAATAACGTTCTTTTTAGCAACATCATATGACCCCTTTAAGCATGTGCATCCACAAAAATGCAGCAAATTGTTAAAACATTAGGGATAGTTCACCCAACAATGAAAATTCAGTTGACGGTAGCCATTGACTTCCATAGTGTTTGTTTCCATACTATGGAAGTCAATTGCTACCGTTTGGTTATCAAAATTCTTCAAAATATCTTCTTTTGCACTGAACCGAAGAAATAAACTCATACAGGTTTGGAACAACTTGGGGTGAGTAAATGATGAAAAAAGTTTCATTTTTGGGTGAACTATGCCTTTAATTAAATGAGACAATTCTGGTAACATTACAACACACATACATAAAATAAAAAAATAAAATAAAATACACAAATACAAATGATTAAAAACTATTTTAATAAATACTTTAAACAAAAAAATACATAGAAATATAGTAAATAAATAAATAAATACTGGATGAGTGTCCACCTCTTGTCGGTTAAATCCATATATATGAATCAATCTACTCATGCTTTTCTCCAAGGCAGCCAACAGGCGGCACTGTAGAGATTACAGTAGCGCACGTGCACCTTGAGAGTGGAGCCTACAAAAAATTAATATTCAAATGTCCAATGACTTGCTTTCTGAATTACATGTAACAGAACTGAAGATTGCTTTAGAAAATTTAAATGGTCAAATTTAGAGTGAAATTTTCTGGTTTCATGTAAATGACTATGGCTCAATACTAGTTCTCATTTTTAACAATACCAGCTCACATTTTTACGCAGAAGATGCCTCACTTCCCCTGCAACAGTTACTATGGAAAACCCACGCTTCCTCTTTCTCTCTGGCTTAATCATGCCAGATGTCAAAGGTGCTTTCTACAAATGGGTTATGAAGTAGGGCCTGAAACTCTTAAAATAGTCTAATTAAGTTTTTTTTTTTTTTTTTAAACAAACGAAGAGTAAAAACAGGGGTTTTGTCATTTTTATCAATAAATATTAAACAAACAAAACCACAACACAATGTCAGAATGAATAACAGGGTTGAAAATTTAGTCTTTCTACAGTAACTTAAGTAATGTTGTTGAATAATTGAGCTTGGCGAATGCATTAAACGCAATTAAAATACAATAAGCAATAGTCAGAATACATAATTTTTAAGAATTAAGTTGTCTCCCAACCATGTAGAAAAGGTTCAAATGTTAGAAGTTTTGTGCTAACAGAGCTGTACACAAAATGAAGTACACAGATTTATGTTTAAAGGTATTAAAGGGGTCATATGATGCTGCTAAAAAGAACATTATTTTGTGTATTTGGTGTAATGAAATGTGTTTATGCGGTTTAAAGTTCAAAAAACACATTATTTTCCACATACTGTACATTATTGTTTCTCCTCTATGCCCCACCTTTTTGAAACGCGTCAATTTTTACAAAGCTCATCGGTCTGAAAAGCGAGGTGTGCTCTGATTGGCCAGCTATCCAGTGCGTTGTGAGGCCGAATACCTCAAGTGTGAGACGGAAATGTTACGTCCCTTACCATACTGTTGATGCCGTGTCCCGCAGATCTTCTTTATGCACCAAGAGCTTGTAACACTCCAAAGAGAAAGGAAAAATTGAAATCGCATCATATATCCCCTTTAAAGTCATTATTATAAATTAATAATTATTTAATTTAATAAATTAAAATATTTTTACTACAATGAATTGAATAGCAAGACTTAATTCGATTTTTTTTTAATTAAAAATATTTTACTATCAATATCAGTTTTACTGAATATCAGTTCATTGTATCAATATCAAAACAGATAATGTCAAAAGTAAGACATTGTTATAGGACTTTAATGTTAAACACAGAGGTCAAGAACTCTTCCCTTGAGAAATCACATACATACGTTTGATGCATTAAAAACAAATTTTTATGGTCATCTTAATAAGTTGATGTTATAGTTCTCACTACAGATATGGGATCTAATGCATGGGACACAAAAGACTACCAGAATAGTGGAAAGTGCCAAATGTTGCTGTACAATTTTGGGGCAGTCGTGGTCTAATGGCAAGAGAATCAGACTTGTAACCCAAAGGTTGTGGGATCGAGTCTCTGTACCAGCAGGGATTGTAGGTGGTGGTTTGAAGAGAATGACCAACGCTCTCTTCCACCTTCAATACCACGACTGAGGAGAGACCCCTGAGCAAGGCACCGAACCCCCAACTGCTCCCCAGACGGCGCAGCAAAAATGCCTGCCCACTGCTGCGGGTGTGTGTGTTTTCACTTGGATGGGTTAAATGCAGAGCACAAGTTATGAGTATGGGACACCATTCTTGGCTACACGTCACTTCAGCTGAAGGACTGCTGAACTGCTGACTGCTGAAAAGCACAACAATGATCCTTTTACATGCATGCAGAATATACATTGATCTTTACTGTGTATACTGTGTATACAAACAGAGGCTATTAAGATGGTAACTGATATGTTGGAAACAAATTATTAATAACACAAACCAACAGGATGGCTGGCTTTGACACTGTGACTTCTAATGAGATTACTCAGCACAGCAGGAAAGGATCTGTGACATACTGTTTTACATCATGGGCCATCTGGGCCTCTGATTGGTGGACAGTGACATCATGTGTAGTGGTTCTATTCTGTTTCGCAGCAGACTGGCTGATAGCAGGTGTAAAAATATGCAGACACACCATTTACAGTGCAAAAAATAATCAAGCAATTAATTTTATTGGAATGAAAGAATGCATCTAATCTTAGAAACACATTACACATCCATAAGTCATTTTATAGGATTATTCTGGATTCAGTATAACAAAGTGCGATCAACAATATTTGTGGCATAATGTTGACTACCAGAAAATATTCTTTAAATAATAAAGTGTGAGGCACGTACAATGGAAGTGAATGGGGCCAAATGGTTAACCTCACTCAGTATTTCCAAATGTATAGCCACATGATATAAACAATGCATGTTAATGCGATTTTACTGATGTTTTTACAGCTTTCTACATCCTGAAATGACCGTTAAAATGACTAGTACAGCTTTACAGTTTAAATAATACACAGGTTCTAATAGAAGAACTAGTACTTTTATAAAATTCTATATTAATTATTTTGTTTGTAAGTACTCAATTTATGCTATTTAAAGTGATAATCAACAACTAATAACTACAAATGCTGTTGATTGATCTTAACTTGTATTGAACCCGAAATATTTATACATACATTTTGTGATTAATACCTTAATAGCAATATGCAATGCTTAATATTTAGGGTTTATAAAAAGCAGTATACTCTAAGAAACATCCATAAAAATATGGCCTGTTGTACTATGTTAATATGAAGGAATTAATATATAAATAGCATTTTGTTTTTGTAAAATGTACTCCAATAATAAAATGTTTTATTTACAACTTTGAAAACAATATTGTTTACAGTCTACCTTTTCAGTTTCTATATGGATTTGTGGTCACACTTTAGTTTGGAGACCAATTCTTACTATTAACTAACTATTAACTATATGACTTTTGC